CCTGGGATCATGACCTGAGCCGAAGGCAGCCGCTTAACGACTGAGCCACCCAGGCGCCCTGTAATAGCTTTTTAAATGTTAATCACTGTCAACAACATTCTCATCATCATCTCTGACAAGAGCTCTTGGGAGTCTTAGACATTTTGTTGAGATTAGGGAGTGGTGCACATGTATTCTCAGTTCAACATAGACATTAATGTTATAATCTAATATTTTTGGCTTTAATTGGTTTTCTACTGTATCTTTCTTGTACTAAGGTAAGGTCTTGTGTATAGAGAGAAAATGCAGAATGAAGGAAATTGTTCAAGTTGTAATTGGTAGATTTAGATACCTGTAATCCAGTAACTCTTTATCTCAAATCCTAAAGAATATTTGGGGCAAGTAAATGCCACTGATGGATTTGCTTCACTGAAAGATAGTGAACAATTCCTTTTCAGCTCACTTTGTTTCCTTTTGAAAGTAATTAGCTCTTCATATTAAGATTTGATACATAGCCTTTAAAGGCCAGTCTTTTTTAAAACAAAATTGAGCTAAATATCTATTTCAGTGGAATTTGATTAACTGTAGACGTTTGTGTTATCAGCACACCATTCAATATACAGATCAGTTCCATCACCCCAGTTCTCAGGTCCCCTTCTGGCCACTCCCTAGTCCTCTCCATAAATCACTGTTTTGACTTCTAATAGCATAATTTTATTAGATCTTAAATGTAATATAAATGGAATCATCCAAGTGTTTTTTTTGTATCTGACTTCTTTTGCTCATCATAGTGTTTTGAGCTCTGTCCATGTAGTGAGTGTGTACCATTAATTCATTCCTCTTTATTGCTGAATAGTATTTCATTGTGTGACTTCACAATTTTGTTTATCCGTTTTCCGAATGATGGACTTTGGGATTTGTAGTTTTTTACTGTTGTAAATAAAGCCACTTAAAACATTCTTGAACAAGTCTTTTCTTGTGGAGATAGGTTTTTATGTCTTTTGGGTAGATAATTAGGAATGGAATTGGGTAGTTAAGCTAGGTGTATATTTAATTTCATAAAAAAAAAATTCAGATCTTTCAAGGTGGATGAATTTCAACCAACATTGTATAAGAGTTCCATTTGTTCCATATCTTCACCAGTGTTCGATGTTTGCTAGTCTTGTCTTTAACTTTAGCCATTCTAATGGGTAAACAATTGTATCACATTGATAATGTTTGTGCACTTTCAGTTACTCAGCAAGTATTTATCAATTACAGGGAACATTGCCCAACAATATGTCTAGCTTTTAGGAGTATGTTTTTATTTAAAATTCAAATAAGTTAAATATTAAAAAAATTAATTACTTGCAGGAACCTCTTAATGTTTCATGTTTCCATAGTCTCAGTTTTTATATTTTTGGTTATGTTTATTAATACCCCTTATTAGGTCATGCTTATGTAATAAAAATAATGTTATTCTTTGGTAGCTAAAACTCCGCTGTTAATTAGTTCATGAGGAATATACCTACTTTTGTTACTCTCATATGTTAGATGATACTTAATTTTTTTTGACCAGTGGCCTAATTATCATGAAAATCTTATATTTGTACAATTTTAGGCCCCGAGCAGTCTTCTTGATGCTTTGGAACAACATTTAGCTTCCTTGGAAGGAAAGAAAATTAAAGATTCTACGGCTGCAAGCAGGTACATTATTCTTTGTAGGGCAAAGAGCAGGAGTGATGTTTCTGAGAGAGTTGATGAATCCAGCTTAAGTTCCAAGTTATTTGACTCCCCCTTACCTTGATTAATCATTTATAATTAATAGCATCTACCTCATAATGTTGCTGCCAAGGATTAAATGGGTTAATACATGTAAATTCTTGGAATAGTTCCTGATCTTCAATAGATGTCAGCATCTCTTAAGATGATAACACTGACTACATGGTTTGCAATTATATTCATAGTGTCAGTATTTCTCTCAAAGGTGATAGTGCGTTGGGGCACCTGGCTGGCTCAATCAGAAGAGCATGCGACTCTTGATCTTGGGGTTATGAGTTTGAGCCCCACGTGGGGTGTAGAGATTACTGAAAATAAATAAAACTTAAGAAAAATGATAATAAATTTAAAAAATAAACTTTTTTTAAAAAAAGGTGATAATACATTGATTCATATGGTGTCTTGTAATTATAAGATGCCCTTTTACAAATTTGATTAACCCCCACTATAGGCCAGTGAAATGTATGCAGTAGTAATTCTGGGACTCAAACCTATGATGTCTGACATAAAATTCCATCATTTTTCTCTAATGCCAATTCATGTGGTTGATTATTGACATATTTTAATCAGTCTATTGGGCTTTGAGCTGGTTTCCAAGACTAAAACGAGTTAACCTACCAAATTGAATATAGCACAGATCATCTCATATTGACCGTGTAACATGAGTTTTGTGTTGGGTAATGAGTAATTCTCATTTTTTTATGACAATTTTATCTTAATAGCATGAAAAAAATTTTGTGTAAAATATTTATAATGAGACCCTTCTCTGTAGACTTTTTGATTGTTTCAGAACTTTTTTTTGTGGCAATAAAATTTAAGTAATTTTTATTTTTTTATTTTTTTATTTTTTATTTTTTTTAAATATCACAGCCAATTTATTTTTTTAAGCAATTGGAAAGGCACATTAATAGAGGCAGAGATTCATTAAGAGGAAAAATCAATACATTTTATAACTATAAATTTAAATGTTGCTCCTATAAATGGCAAAAATAACCTT